CAGCGCGGGGCTCGCGTTCCTGGTGGCCGAGGTGCTGCCGGCCGCCGTGAGCGGGCGCTGGACGCTCGCGCTGGCCCCGCGCGCTCTGGCACTCAGCCGTCTGGCCGTGCTCCTCACCCTGCCAGTAGCCTTTCCCGTGGGGCAGCTGCTGGAGCTGGCGGCGCGACCCGGGCGGCTACGGGAGCGCGTGCTGGAGCTGGCACGAGGCGGCGGCGACCCCTACAGCGACCTCAGCAAGGGCGTGCTGCGCTACCGGACGGTGGAGGAGGTGCTCACGCCGCTTGAGGACTGCTTCATGCTAGACGCCAGCACCGTGCTGGACTTTGGCGTCCTGGCCAGCATCATGCAGAGCGGCCACACGCGCATCCCCGTGTACGAGGAGGAGCGCTCCAATATCGTGGACATGCTCTACCTCAAGGACTTGGCCTTCGTGGACCCCGAGGACTGCACGCCGCTCAGCACCATCACCCGCTTCTACAACCATCCGCTCCACTTTGTCTTCAATGACACCAAGCTCGACGCCGTTTTGGAGGAGTTTAAGCGAGGTAACGTCCGGGAATCGCGGAGGGGACCCAAAGGTCTTCTCTCTCCCCTAGAAAAGGGGTAAGGGATTATGGAAGCCTTGGGGAGAGGTTCCCAGCCCTGTGCAGGGCAATGAGACCTCAAAGTGCCTTCTTAAAGATGATGGTCTTGCATCTCTGATCTTCTGAAATATCATTTAAAGGCTACCGTTCAGAGGGTGAACATGCTATAGACAGCAGACCACCCCTTTTCCTGGTAGGCCCCCAGTTCAGGGAGGTATGCCCACTAGGCTCCTACCCCCAGCTCTTTACCTCTGCAGATCATTTTTATGGGCTTTGGCTTTGTAGCACATCCAAACTCTTGGATAGAAACTTAAAAAAAAAAAAAAGGTAGGAAAAATTAGTTTCCAGACACCTGGACAGTATTATCTGCCTGCATATACAGGCACATCTCAGAGATACTGCAGGTTTGGTTCCAGACTGCTGCAATAAAGCGAGTCTTAATCTTTTCGCTGGTGGAGGGTCTTGCCTTCAGTTTGTAAAAAACTCAACACCTGTGAAGAGCAATGAAACAAGGGATGCCTGTAAATGTCAAAATAGCCCTGCCTGTGATGTTTCTAGGTCATCATTGTTAAGGTAACTGATGGGCTGCTGCCTTCCTGATTACAGAAAAGGAGTGATTGGCATATACTTTTCTGCAGGTGTGGATAACATGTTGATTTTGATTTTGCCCAAAGCAACTTTATGGATACTGATTAAGTCTCCCCTTCATCTGTCTTTAGAAAACTTTCCCTTTTCTAACCCTGAGTAAGGTCTCTCAAGTTCTCCCTTAACTACACATTTCACCCTCTTTCACCTTGATGTATCTGAGCAACTCTAAGGTTGCAGGTAAAAACCAAGACCTACCCTCCAAGTGTGAAGGTGTGGGCTGCTCTGCAGTCCTCTCCAGGGCCAGGCTTGGGTGTGCTCCTTAGAGCTAGGCTGCTCCTTGGCCACCAGCCATGCTTCCCTTACCTGAACTCCTGCAGAATGGGCACAGGGGACACCCCAGCATTCTGGGTGGACTTGATCCTAAAGGCTGCATAATGTGAGGCTGGGAAGTGAGCAAAGCCCCCTGATCTTCTTGCAGCTGTGAGGTTTCCTGCCATGGCCAGTCTGGGAGGTGCTCTGTGAGCCCCTGACTATCAGGGCAGGAAGGCAGGGCTTTGTGGTAATGACGATGTTATTCCTGCGTTAGCATGGCTGTATGCTAGATAGTAGTGGGCGCTCAAGTGCACCATCGCCTTTCATCCTTGCCTGGGTGTTGCATAGTCAGGCAGTTACTGCTACTACTGTGCCTCCAGTTGGGCAGGAGGGTTTGATGGGTAGCTCCGACTGCTCTGCTAGAGAATCTCATGGGTGCTCCTGGCTGTCTTCCCAGAAAGTGGCCATGCAGCCCCTCTCAGGGGAGGGAAGCCCAGGGTAGGGGCCAGACAAAACCTCCTGGTGGTAAGTATTCCGTCTAGGCCACTGTAGTCTATGAGGTGGCCCTGGAGTCAGCCGGGAGGGTTTATTCCATCCTGCCCCTGCTGCCTCCCAGCTTGAGACCCTGGGGAGGCTGGACTTGACACCAGGGTGGTACCTGTGAGCAGAGCATCTCGCCATGACTGGTGTGGTTACCAGTGTATGGGTGGTGGGGGGTGCAGAGGAGAGAGGGTGGCAGGCTGAACAGGGCCTGGAGAGGAGACCCAAGAGGGCATTTGGAGGTGGAATTAGGAGGATTTTGTAGTTGTCTGAGGGCCTTTTGGACAAGAGGGAGGAACTGGGGATGAAGCCTGGATTGCAGAGAAGAGAGGGCGAGGGGTGGGGCAAGGAGTTTTTTTCTGGACATTGGAGTTTGTTCAGTGGCCTGAGGACAAGTCCTAAGGGGCAGGTGATGGGAAGTTGGAAGGACCCAAGTGGAGGTGAATGTCTGGTCCTAGTGTAGAAGTGGTCCCTCAACCACAGAAGGGGAGCAGAGAACCTAAGTCTGAGCAGCACAAGTATGTCCGGTGAGGGCAGCAGAGGAGAGGCTGCTGAGAGCCAGAAGTTTGGAACATCTGGAAGTGGGGGAAAGAGACCACCCATCAAGGGAAGGAAAGCGATCAGGAGAGGAGGCCAGCATTGTGTGGTCTAGATCCAGCAAGCAGGGTTCCCTTGACCTTTGCACAAGTGGATGGGGTGCCATGGTATGGGGCGATGGACAGAGTAAGTGGGGCATGAGAGGTATGACAGGTAATGAAGAGCCTTCTGGGAGGTGTGGCTACAGAGCAAAAGCCAGAGAACAGTGGCTGGGAGAGGGTGGCCGGGGATTAAGATGGGTGAGTCAAGTTGGTTTAGGGTTAGGTATTGTTGGAAAGGAGCCAGTAGAGAGGGTCGGCTACAGTGCAGGCCACTCCTGTGCTGGGTGGAGAGCTAAGCAGGTTTCATGCAGCCTGATGCTGACCCTGTAGCTGCCTACTAACAACTACTACTACTAGTAGAAGGTGATGGGGGTGATTTGCAACCTGGAGGTTGAGTGGGGAGTGCTTCCCTCCTCTGCCTTCCTCCTATGGTAAGGGCCATTCTCAGGGCAGAATGACCACATCTTTTCTGTGACATCCTGGAGCTTTTTCTGCTTCTTGCACAGTGCAATTCTTTGGTGGGTAATCTTTATTTTTCTTCATTAAAGTCCTTTTTAGCCTAGCCCCTTTCTTCATTCTGCTTATGAACAAAGGGCATATTGGAGCCTTGATGGCGCCTGAGGCTTCAGAGGTTGGTTCCCGTCCCACCTCTCTGCCAGGCATGTGAGGTGGTGGTGCCTCTGAATTTCCTGAAGCCAGAGTCCCTGGCATCTTGGCAGTTACCATTTCAGCCCCTGTTACTGTCCTGCTTCCAGAGCCCTATCTCTCTGGGACTTTATAGTCTGAGAGAGTCACCTTCCCCAGTGAGGAGCCTTCAGTCAGTGTGCGGACTTTAGGTGACACTGATTATTTTGTGCAGAACATTACCAGGAAGAGTGAGTACTTTGGAGCTGTAGTAAGTAACATGGATTTCCTTTAAAGCCATCAACCCCTGCCTGCCTTGTCAACCCCCAAGGATCAGCCAGGGGAGGGTTTAAGATAGGTGAGTGTGTCAGTTTCTGCTTTAAAGCACCTTAGTTCATTGTCAGAAGCCACAGCTCTGAAGAGTCAGACTTGCCATGACAGATTCAAATAGTGGCTTTAAAGACAAAAGAGGGGCCTGGCAGGCGTGGCTCTGTGGTTGGTCGTTGACCTATGATCCAGGAGATCATGGTTCGATTCCCAGTCAGGGCACATGCTGAGGTTTGGGCTCAATCCCCAATAGGGGGTGCGCAGGAGGCAGCCGATCAGTGACTCTCTCATCATTGATGTTTTTCTCTCTCTCTTTCCCTCTCCTTTCCTCTCTCTGAAATCAATAAAAACGTATTTTAAAATAAAATAAAAAGAGGAAAGGCAGAGGAATTTAAACTCCAATTGCGTTTTTAAGAATATCTTAGAAACTAGGCATTCCGAAGAGTCCCCAAGCATTCATATAATTTATGAGTACTCTTGTACCTGTTAACTAGCTAAAATTAAACTGTAGATCTTTTCAGGGCTTTCTGGTCTATGTTGGTGAAACGTGCCATCTGCTCCTTGCTTATAGCTCTTGCACTGGGCCAGGGCTTGTGTCCGGTTTTGCAGTTGGCCAGCAGGGCCCATATTTTCAGAGCGTTTTATTCTCTCAAATGAAAAAAAAAACTCAACCCCTCCAACTGCCCTTTCTCTGTGTACTTCTGCTGCTTCCTCACGGTTGCCTTCTGGACCCCCTCAAATGTTGTCTTGAGATGAAATCACATGGCCATTGTTTTAGGGGATCTTCCATGTGGCAGGTCACTGAGAAACTTGTGCCTGTTTTGTAGAAATTTGTGGGCAAAGAAAAAGTTATTCTATTCTGCCGGTATCCTGCCAAAACGAGTGGCTTCGTGGGAGAAGGGAGCTGAGATGGGTCCTCTGTGCTCTTAGATGGCCATCGAGAGCCTGGGATCTGGTTCCAGAATCTGAGAAGGCTGCTGGCCAGAGTTGTGAGTCTTGCTTTCCTGATCCGGCTTGACAGATTGGTATCACATGGCAGGGCCACCGTGGCCCTTGTAGAAATGGCACCTGTCTAGTGGTGTGAGCCATTCCCACCACAAATACCAAGAGGTAGAGAGCACCTCAAAATGCTGCCGTCCCTATTCAATGCCCGTCTCAGTAGGAATGAGCAGATTGTTCTCCTGGCCTTTTTCTCTGAAAAGGGTAAGATAACGTAATGTAGTTATTTCTACCTTTAATTACTCAACATATTAGAGCATCTTCAAGGTGAAAAAGAAATGCTTTCTTTACTTTAGAAGGGCCTGTGGGAGTCACCCGAGAGGAGAGTCTTCTCAGACTCAGTCTGTTCTCAGTGGAAGCCAGCAGAGCATGGTGGTGAAGGGAGTGGATTCGGGAGCCAGCTGCTAGAGTACGAATCCTGGTTTTGCACTTGGATGGGCTACCGAACCTCCCTGGGCCTCATTTTCTCTGTAAACTGTAAATGGGAATAATAGTACTCTGTGCCTCAGAGAGTTGTTGGAGGGCTTGGTAAGTTAATAAATGAGTAAAGCCCTTGGCGACCAGCACACAGTAAACGTTAAATCCTGCTCCTTCACCTGTCTGCAGTCAGGCTGTGCCCCACAATTGGTGGCATCTCAGGTTTGAGGAGACTCAGTAAGTGTTATCTTTCTATTCTTTTACAGCCTCATTCCTTTCTTAATCATCCTGCTAGTGGTTTACTACTACTGATAATACAGTAATAGCTTTTGATCGAGTCTTGACATTTGCATTTCATCTAACTTTGGAGCAGAGGTCTTCCTATACCTGACTGTTGGGGGTGAGGTGGGGCACGGATGCTGGAGAAATGGGGTGAGCATGCCGAATAGAGTTCCACAGAGTGTGTTTCTAAACTCACCGCATAGAATTGTGGTTAAACCGGAGGTGTGTAAAGGGTGATTCACACAAAGAAAAGAACTTGACTTTTTGCTTTACCAAAAGATTCTTGAAGCAAGTATCCTCGTACATGCAGGACCAGGCCAGCTTTCCCCTTGGCCTTTTTTACTAATAACAGAGAAGGGCACGGTTGAGATGAGTCTGCTCTCAGGTCCGGGACCTGCACAGCCCAGTTGCCACCACCCATGTGTGGCTACTGAGCTCTTGAAAGGTACTGCCTAGTCTGAACTGAGATGCGTTGTAGGTGTAAACATACATCTGATTTCAAAGACTTGGCACAAAAAAGTAAAACGCCTATTAATGAGTTTATATTGATTGCATGTCAAAGTGATATTTTAGTTATATTGAGTTGTTACAGTATATTGTCAATTCATTTCACCTGTTTTTTTAAAAAAATTTTTAAAACTTTATTTATTTTTAAATATATCTTCATTGATTTCAGAGAGAGGAAAGGAGAGGGGGAGAGGGAGATAGAAACATCAATGATGAGAAAGTCATTGATCGGCTGCAGCCCACAACCCGGGCATGTGCCCTGACCTGGAATCGAGCCCTGATCGCCTGGATCCTAGGTCGACACTTAACCGCTGAGCCATGCCCTATCAGGCGTTTTTTTTAAATTTTTAAAAAGTTTATCTTTATTGTTGAAAGTATTACAGATGTGCCCCCTCTTGACCTTTCCACCCCTCTCCTGCCCCCTCCCCAGGTCTTCCCCGTACTGTTGTCTATCCATGGGCTGTGCATGTATCATATAAATTCATTGGTTAATCTCTCCCCCACCCCTTTCTTTCTGAAATACATCAGTCTGTTGCATGTTTCAATATCTTTGGATCTTTTTTGTTCATCAGTTTATTTTGTTCATTAGATTCCACATATAAGTGAGATCATGTGATACTGTGTTTCTCTGATTGGCTTATTTCACTTAGCATAATACTCTTCAAGTTCCTCCATGCTGCCCCAAAGGGTAAGAGATCCTTTTTTACAGCTGCATAGTCTTCCATTGTGTAAATGTACCACTGTTTTTTAATCCATTCATCTACTGATAGGCACTTGGGCTGTTTCCAGATCTTACTCTGCTATGAACATAGGGGTGCATATAGTCTACTGATTGGTGTTTCTGGCTTCTTAGGATATATTCCTAGAAGTGGGATCACTGGGTCAAATGGCAGTTCCATTTTTAATTTTTTGAGGAAACTCCACACTGTTTTCCATAGTGGTTATACTCATCTGCATCCCCACCAACAGTGTACTATGGTTCTTTTTTCTCCACATCCTCACCAGCACTTGTTGTTTGTTGATTTATTAATGGTAACTTTCTGACAGATGTGAGGTGATACCTCATGGTAGTTTTAATTTGCATCTCTCTGATGATTAGTGATGTTGAACATTTTACATTTTTTCATGGGTCTCTTGGCCATTTATATGTCCTCTTTGGAGAAGTGTCTATTCAGGTCCTTTGCCCTTTTTTTTCCTTTTAATTCTCACCTGAGGTTCTTTTTTCCATTGCTTTTCAGCGAGAGTAGAGGGAAGAGAGAGAGAGATAGAAACGTTGATGTGAGAGATACATTGATTGGTTGCCTCGTGCACACACCCCCAACCTGGGCTGGGGTTGAGCCTGCAACCGAGGTATTGCCCTTAGTTGGAATTGAACCTGGGACCCTTCGGTCTGCAGGCTGACCCTCTAACCACTGAGCTAAACTGAGTAGGGCCCTTTGCTCATTTTTTAATTGGATTGTTTGTCTTCCTTTTGTTGAATTGTATGAGTGCTTTATGTATGTTGGAAATTAACCCCTTATCAGTTGTATCATTGGCAAATATGTTCTCCCATACAGTGGGCCCCCTTTTCATTTTGATGTTGATTTCTTTTGCTGTGCAGAAGCTTCTTATTTTGATGTAGTCCCATTTGTTTATTTTTTCCTTTGTTTCTCTTGCCCTAGGAGATGTATCAGTGAAAATTTTGCTATATGAGATGTCTGATATTTTGCTGCCTACATTTTCTTCTAGGATTTTTATGGTTTCATGACTTACATTTAAGTCTTTTACCCATTTTGAGTTTATTCTTGTGTATAGTGTAAGTTGGTCGTCTAGTTTCATTTTTTTGCATGTACCTGTCCAGTTATTTCAACACCAGTTATTGAAGAGACTGTCTTTACTCCATTGTATGCTCTTGCCTCCGTTGTCAAATATTAATTGAGCTTAGTGGCTTGGGTCGATTTCTGGGTTCTCTGTTCTGTTCCATTGATCTATATGCCTGTTTTTGTGCTAGTACCAGACTGTTTTGATTGCAGTGGCTTTGTAGTACAGTTTGATATCTGGTATTGTGATCCCTCCTATTAATGTGTTTACACAAATTGATTGCATGTCAGAGTGATATTTTAGCTATATTGAGGTATTACAATATGTTATCAATTCATTTCACCTGGGCTTTTTTTGTTTTGTTTTTAATACAGCTACTCAGAAATTTGAAAATACATATGTGGTGTGCATTGTGTTTCTCTTGTGCAGGTACAAAACTTTATAGATGAAGAGCACTTAGCTGAGGCAGAGTAAATTCCTGAAGTTTCCCCAATGTGCCCCAACACTCAGAAGTGTGGATTTTTTTCAAGCTTACATTTTCTCATTAAACAAACAAATAGGAAGGTAACCAAGAAAGACACAAGAGGAAGGGGAAAGTTCCCAGCTGCTGTTCTTCTTCCCACAGAGATCCCCTGGATCACCTTCATAGACCTCATCTTCTGGAAATAAAGGACAGCTTTCAGAATTGGGAAAACTGCCCTAGGACAGTCAGACTGGCGGCCTCTCTCGGTTCCCCCACTTAGATGGTCCAGGGAGCCTGCTTTTCTGGAGTTGGTGCCTTGTGTCCGTAGTCTGTCTGATACATGCACATCTAAGCCACATTCACAGCTTGGAGCCACACAGACGGGCTGAGTCCAGCTTGGCCGCTGCCTGGGTCGCCTTGTGTGGGCAAACACAGTGTCTGGGGTTCAGGTTCCTTGCATGTGAGGTGAGGCCAGTCCTCATGAGCATGTTAAGAATCTTCAGTCAGAACCCAGAAAAGTTGCGCCCTGTGTTTGGTGGTCATAGGAACATAAACATTAGCGTTTGTCCTTTTGGTGGGTTTGTGCAGGGTGGGACCTAGAAATGTGGGAGCCTCTGGCACCCTGTAATGGGCATGTCCCTCCCCCAGGGAAGTCCCACCTGGCCATCGTACAGAAGGTAAACAATGAGGGTGAAGGTGACCCCTTCTACGAGGTCCTGGGCCTGGTCACCCTGGAGGACGTCATTGAGGAGGTCATCAAGTCTGAGATCCTGGACGAGTCTGGGGACTACCGTGAGTCTTGCCTCCTGGCAGTTTTCTGGCTCAGCTGGTCTTTCAGGGTCACTGAGATGTGTCTCAGTTTCATGGGATGACGAGTCTCTATTGTTTCCCCTGTGGACCAGTGTTGCCCCCTTACAGGAGGGCCCACTTCTGCACCTGGATGCAGAGCTGTGGTGGCCCATCCATCCGTGGCCTTGCAGTTGCAGCGCTTGCTTGGGGCTCCGCTAGTTTCCTCCATCACTGAGGGGTCTCTGCCCTTAATGGGCATTTCGCAGACTCACTCCTCACACCTTTCACTTTTCTTGTGGTTTGTAGAGAAGTGTCTCCTCGAACCCATTCTTTACTAAGAAGATCTTCCCAAAACCTGTCCTTGGTGCCCGTTATGTCCCTGGGTTATGTCTTAGAAGCATCTGCTTCTTAGGATGGTGGCTGGGGTCTGCAGGGTGGACATAGAACCTGTGCTCGATGACTAGGACGTAGTGCCACCCACCCGTGTGTGCTTTCAGGTGAACTGCTTTGCCCCATGCATGTGTCCCACAATGCAGCATCTTTAGTTTCATTCCTGAGACTACCCCAGGCACAGGGCCTCTAGGTTAGCCGGCACTGTGTAGCACCAGGGAGCCTCCAAGGCCTGCTTTCTGGTGAGTGGTCTAATGACCACAGGTTCCTGTCACTATGCTGCTGCTTTCTGTCATGTCAGCATTATCTTCTCCCAACTCCAAGGAGAGGTACAGTCTCTTCTGGTACTTTCTCGGGGTGTAGCTGCAATGTGGGCCACTGCCCCTCTGTTCTTGGGTACCAGGTTTACTGTGGTGGGAATGACAGCCGGGCACCATCCAAGAAGCCAAGGATGTGTCCCTGGGCCTCCTGAGGTGTCTCCCAAGAGCCTCCAGGCTTGTGGAGGGGGTGCGGGCAACATGCCCTTTGGTTTAGTCATGTTGACAGAGGGCTGCTGGTGCCAAAGCCGCCTTCTGCTCATCATCCCAGGAGACACCACAGTGAGGAAGAAGCCTGCTTCTCTTAATGCCCCTCCCAGGCGGAAAGAGGAATTCTCCTTGTTCAAGGTGTCCGACGATGAGTATAAAGTGAAAATCTCGCCCCAGCTGCTCTTGGCCACCCAGCGCTTCCTTTCCCGAGGTGAGGGTGAAGGATGGGCCTTGTTTGCACTCTTGCTTACCCTCCAGTAGGTCAGGAGACTGCCCCCCCAGGCAGACACTGACTGCTCCCATCCCCAGAAAGCAGGGGAGTGTCCAGGAGAACCTCTCTGCTTCTCCCGGCTGCTCTGTCAGCAGAGACTCTTCTGGACACTCTCAGGTCCCCTGAGGGGGCAGCTCCTCTGCCAAACGACCAAAAGCCAGGGCCAGGCTGGTGCCACCTGTGGTGAGCCTCAGCCAGGAAGCCTTGGCTGGTGGTTTGCGTGGCTGTCCAGCCTTCTTGTGTTGGGGAGGGGACTCGGCTCAAGGGCTAGCCAGGAGATTCCAGGTGGGCAGCAGGCGTCGGTGTGGTTACGCAGGCCGCTCAGGGCCCAGCGGACACTGTCTCTTCTCTCTGCCGTGGGCAGAGGTGGATGTGTTCAGCCCATTGCGAATCTCCGAGAAGGTCCTGCTGCACCTGCTGAGGCACCCCAGCGTCAACCAGGAGGTGAGGTTTGACGAGAGCAACCGCCTGGCTGCACACCATTACCTGTACCAGCGCAGCCAGCCGGTGGACTACTTCATCCTCATCTTGCAGGTAACCAGGAGCCTGGGCCAGGCCCCGCCTGATCGGAAAGCAGGGAAGGGTCCGAGAGAGGGAGGCACATTTAGGTGCACCCCTGTGTAATCAGAGTGGGTGCTTTCTGCCTGTGCTTCCTCCTGGCAGAAAGCGTAATGTGTGTGCATCTGTTTCTCTCCACCTCCCAGGGCAGGGTTGAGGTGGAGATCGGGAAGGAAGGCCTGAAGTTTGAGAACGGGGCCTTCACCTACTACGGCGTGTCTGCCCTGACAGCGCCATCCTCCGGTGAGCTGCAGCCCCTCCTGAGTGAGGGCTGGGCTGGCGCGGGGCTCTCCCTCTGCTGTGGCTGGGGGCCCCAGGGCCAGGATTCTCTCCTTTCCTTCCTCCAGCGCTTGGCCTTCTACAAAGTGGTCTGCTTTAGGACATGCTGGATTTTCTGCTCTCAGGGTTGTGCAGTGGGAAGAGGCAGCATTTTTTTAGGCCTTGTCTTGGCTGCTCATTCCCATCTCTGTAAAACCTTTCCCTGGAAGAAGCACGTTTGCTAACTCTCCAAAATTCCTGCCATAATCCTCCCCAGAGTAATTGTGGGGTGGGTCTTATAGGCTGTGCATCTATCCCTGCCAGGGTGGGGCTGCCCAGCTCCCAGCACGGCTTCCCCATCACTGATTGTTCCTCTCGCTAGTTCACCATTCCCCAGTGTCCTCGCTCCAGTGCCTCCGCCATGACCTGCAGCCCGAGCCAGCTGACGGCACCTGCTTGTCCACATACTGTCCTGACTACACCGTGAGGGCCCTCTCTGACCTGCAGTTCATCAAGGTTTGGACTGCTCATTGGTGCTGGGTTCTAACCAGCTTTGTGTCCCCAAAGGGCTAAACCACCTGGCTACCAGCTTGTGTGAATTGAGAGTAAATTCCAGTGGAGTTGGTCTGAGATGCCCCAGAGCAAACCTTGAACTTGCTCTGCAGGATGATGGCCTTGGCTCCCCAGAGGCCCCCTCTGACCACTGCTGATCTGGTCTTGTTTCTGGACCTAGGCAACCAGTTTCCTTCTGCAATCTTAAAGATACTTTGCTAGATTGCCCTTAGCCAGCCTACGGTTCTTTGTTTGCATCCTGCCCAGTGTGACTCCCACCAGGTTCGGGTGCTTGTGGGCAGGAGGGGTGCTATGACCATGTGCTTCACCTGCCCAGTAATGCATTCTGTCCTCCAGGTCACACGGCTACAGTACCTCAATGCACTCCTGGCTACCCGAGCCCAGAACCTGCCACCGTCCCCTGAGAACTTGGATCTCCAGGTCATCCCAGGCAGCCAGACTAGGCTCCTCAGCGACAGGACAGCTGCAGAGGCAGGTGAGCCCTGGGTGGCCACATCCCGCATGTCGGAAGGCGTGTACTCTTCCGGGTCCGTGCTCCTGCACACACAGACCTGCTGTCTCCACCCTCACTCTGCCCTGCATTCTTCTTTCTCCCATCCTTTTCCCCAGCCTCTCTTCTTGCTGTTCTTAATAGCTCAGATGATACTGAGCTATGCAGATCAGCAGGCACTTGAGTATATGAAGTCAACATTTTTTCTCGAGTCTGTTAGGATAGCTGACTTAGAGAATAGTTGTTAAATGGAAATAAGCTCAAGTACAGACATGGCCGTTTAGGATTAGGGTTAAATCACCCAGAAAAGGAAGATTTGGGTAACTAGTGGGCCCAGCTCAGAAGGTGGATGGCTGGTGGGCATCATCCCAGCTAGAAAGGGTCCTGTGGCCTGTGGTTAGGTGATGCTCATGTTTAAAGCCTGCCCTGGGTTCTGCTGTGCGCGGAAGCTTGTGTGAGAAGGTGCAGATTTTGTGATGTGAGGTGGCAGACCCTACCCTCCGGGTAAGGGGAGCCTGTGGAACGCGGGCTCTGAGGAGTGGTCAGCATCCGGGAACCTCCTTGTCCTTGTTAATGAGGAAGGTTCCTTTCCTCTGACAGCTCCTCCTAGGCTGGGGTCAGAGATACTCCAGGGTTTGGTCTTCCTGGAGAAGTGTGCGGGGTTCCCCGGGAGGCCTAGGGAGGAGATGCCAGCCTCTGCCTGACTTGCCCCTGCAGTGGGAACACAGCTCTGGGTGAACCTCACTCTGCTGGGCACTGTGCTTAGTGCTTTCCTGGTCCTGCCTCATCTAAGACCACTTCCCTGAAGTTTGAGAGGGGTAGTTCTTATGCCCATTTTCCAGATGAATGCTTGGAGGCAGAGGCAGGCTCAGGCCTGTTTTGGAGCCTGTGTGTATCCTTGGCTTCTGGGCTGTGGTGCCTCATGGGGAACAGCTCTGCTTACTCAGACCCATGCTTGAGAACACAGATGTGTACCTGTAGTAGAAAGGTACTTTCTGAGAGGTGATACACAGGTGCAAGGGACAGAGAACCCCACGCTGGGCCATGTTGCTGGCTTAGCCCAGTGCACCATCTCTGGGTGTTGGGAAAAGGGGTCCCCGAGTGTGGTGCACTGCTTCAGTCCTGCATGTGGGCTGCCCTAACCCCAACCCTTCCAAATGAACAACAATGCCACCTTCTGGGTCTGGTGACATTCCTGTGACGTTCTTTGATTTTGTGACATCCCCTGTTCACACCGTCACACTACACTTGGGTCTCAGGAGCCAAGACGTTTTTTATGGAAGCCTTCTGGCTTTGGTTTCTTGCATGGGAGCCTTTCCTGGCTCCATCTGCTGCTCAGACTGCGTGTGTCACATTCAGGGTACAGACTTAGGTATAAGAATGATGGTTTTCTCTGCATTTCATCCTTGACCAGATACCCAGAGGTTTTTAAAATCTTCTTTTGGCTTCAGCCCCTCATTGGTCAGTCCACTAAGGGAGTGATTTATAATGACTCTGTGAGTCATTTCCCCTTTGTGACCGATTGCTATCCCGTTCTGCAGTCAAAAAGTGGGCTATTTCCTCCTAAATGCCACTGACACTTGCCCCTATGAGGCTCGCCCACTGTCTTTCTGCTCCTGGCCTTGGCTCTCTGGCATCTCACTGCAGTCTCTGTCACCCTGGAGGGCTGACTGTCACTCCACGTGTGGAAGTGTCATGGTGCACTCCTTCAGTAGTGTAGGTCGGGACCACTCCCACGTGACTTTGGCACTGGATTCCCTGGCAGAGAACATGCTTAGAAGGCACGATGATTTTTGACTGCCTACAGCAGGGTTGGCAAAGTGGACAAAGGGCTGGAACTGGCCCACTGCCTATTTTTGTTTTGTTTTTTTTAAATCCTCACCCAAAGATATTTTTTCCAATGCTTTTCAGAAAGAGAAGACAGAAAGGGAGGGAGGGAGGGAGGGAGGGACGGAGACAGAGACAGACAGACAGATATCGATGTGAGAGAGACACATTGATTGGGTGCCTCCCACATGTACCCCGACTGGGGCTGGGGTTCAAGCCTGCAACTGAGGTACATGCCCTTGGCTGGAATTGAACCCAAAACCCTTCAGTCCACAGGCCAACACTCTAACCACTGACCCAAACTGGCTAGGGCATGCTGTCCTTAAAAATAAAGTTGTTTTTGTTTTTAAAATACATTTTTAATGATTTGAGAGAGAGAGAGGGAGAGGGAGAGAGAGAAGGGAACATGCTTGGCTGCCTCCTGCACAACCCCTGCTGGGGATTGAGCCCACAACCTGGGCATGTACCCTGACTGGGAATCTAATTGGTGACCTCTTGGTGCATGGGACAATGCTCAACCAACTGAGCCACACTGGCCAGGGTGTAAATAAAGTTTTATTGGGACCCACCTGTTTGTTCACAGATTGTATGTGGCTGCCTTTGAGCTATAGTAGTGGAGTAAAATTGTTGCAGAGACCATGTGATGTGTAAAACCTGAAAATACTAGCCCTTTCCAGGAACAGTTTTCTGACCCCTGATTTGCTGTTTCAAATTTGGAGTAATGCCTCCACATTGAGCATTCACAGAACTAGATTTTCAAGGGGAAGTTCACTGAAGACTCCGTGTTCCCTGGCCCTCTTGTTCTGAGCAGCGGGAAACAGTGTGTGTGCCTCTGCTTTGGCTCTCTGCCCACAAGTATCGGTCTCCTCAACACTGGGGCAGGGGATCTGAGGGTTCCGCTCAATAGCTTGTCTCCTCCTCTCTCTTTCTCTCTGTTCTCTCCAGCCTGCCCAGTAGACCTTTCCCTCTTTGGCACATTTGGAAACTGCAGTTGATAATTGACTGGATTAGTGAGCATTTTTTGTTTTAAGAAAACACCCAAGGTAAATATCTTCTCTTTCCTTTCGCTTTGATTTCCTTTCCAGCCCTTTAGCTGCTGGGAGGCATTTCTCCATGGGGGTGTATGGTTCCTTCCTGTCCCTTCTTGCTACTTTTCATTTTTCTAGAAGACAGGAGGACTCATGGAATACCTGCCCAGCCTTGGAAACTAAAGCTCCCTTCTAGGGCAGGCTCCCCTTGCCCAGTGTTACGGCCTTGGCCTCCTGTGAGCGGATCCCCCAGCCCCTGCTTTCCTGCCTCAGTGATGACACCTGTCCTCAAAGTGCTGTCTTTCTGAGGTGGGGTCAGGCTGACCGTTTTCCTAACTAGTCACTCCCAGGTCTGCTTCAACACCTCCAGAGGCACCCCTGCCTGCCCTGCCCCTTCCTATCCCAAAGAGGATCGTCGCACTTTCCTATCTGTGATAGTAATTCTTTCTCTCTTTCTTCTAGGGTCCAACCACGGCGGACCCGGCCTCCCAGCGGAGGAGAGCCCTGGGCGGAACCCAGGAGTTTAACTGCTTGCCAGGCAGCCCCAGGTCTGGGGAATAGACAAGCACGTGGGGAGTGGAGAGAGCCCAGCCATGGAGTAGCTTCCTGCCAGCCTGTTCTCATCCCCTCTAGGCCACGTTTTAGATGGCCCTTGTAGATGTGGCCCTGAGCTGTTCTCAGAACCAGACGTCAGTGCCGGGAGCCTTCAGCAGGTCTTGCCTCCTTTAGGAAATGGGGGTCAGTGGGGCTCAGCCCTCCAGGCCTGCTTCTGAAGGGAGTGAGAGGGACACCATCATCTCCATTGTCCGGGCCCAGCCTCCTCCCTGTGCCGGTGCAGTGTACCTGTACCTCTTCGGGCCAAGCCATGATGTGAGTGCACGATTACTGCCTTTACGTGGCCGTGACCTGTACTCACTTTGCTTCTACTCTGCCAACCTTCTGCTGCTGGCAGCACCTCCTGAGCAAACCAAGAGCACCAGTTTTGGCTGGGGGTTCAGATCCATGGCATTGGCCATGGCGAACTTTGTGGCTTCCCTGATAGTGCCATGTCTCCGCACGCCCCAGCCTGTCCTATGTGCCAAACCTGGAAGCTCGATTCCTCATGAGTCTGTGCCACTAGTCCTCCCCCTCCTGTGGAGGGGGCTGTTCTGACCCTTCCAGAGCCCTGAGCAAGTCAGCTGGCCCCCGGGGGACTGGGAAGGCCTGCTGTTCCTGCTGTGCCTCTGCCTGTACTGCTTAGAGGCCAATAACGGTATTGTCACTTTCTGTGTTTTAACAAGAGGTCACGTGTGAGAGGAAGGGCCCTTCTGCTGCACCTAATCCTTTCCTCATGTCAGATCCCAGGACGAGTAACCAACTGTTAGACTCGTCTCACGCCTTCCCCTCGGCTTTGGCCAGGGGTGGTGTGGCTGTGAGTGCATGGAGAGCAGTGAGGGAGGGGTCAGATAAGGACCAAGTAGATCATCGCCTTTCTTTTAAAAAAGAACATGGAATCAGAGTTTGCTGTCTCTCTCAAACATTTCAAGCTCTTTGCCTGTTTCCTGTCCCTGGCGACGGGGTAAGGCATTTGTCTTTTTCTTCCAGTTTATCTCTATCTACCGAAGCCCACAGTTCAGCTGTTTAGAAACAGGCACCACAGGGACCTAGGATCTTAGATTGGGCAGGGGAAGTGGAGGGTTTCTAGAATCTTTTTCTCAAAGGAATTTGGGTCTTTATCTGGGATCAACGGGGATGAAGGTCAAACAGTGGCCTGCTTGCTGAGAAGTCGTTCTCAAGGAATTTACTCCAAGAGCAAAATCCCATGAGAAACAGATAAGCAGGTCCTCATTATTGTCTCATTGTAATGCCGATGGGACACCCTGGGAACATAACTCTTGCTGGTTTCAGTCAGCCGGTGTGGTAAATTGCAGAACCTGTTGACCACTCTAAGTGAGGACTTACTGTACTTCACAATCATCTCTCCGGAACAGTGGTTCTTCACCTTGGCTGCACATTAGAATCACCTGGCAAATTAAGAATACGGATACCTGGGGCCCACCCCCAGGGAAGATATAATTGGTCTGAGCATCAAGATTTTAGTGTTTGAAATAATTTTAGATTCACAGAAGAGTTCCACGTATCCTTCATCTAGCTTCCCCAAATGTTAACATCACCTCGGTACCTTTATCAGAACTGAAAGATTAATAACACTGGTACAAAAATAACTAAATTACACTTTATATGGATTTTACCCGTTTTTCCAATGTCCTTTTTCAGTTGCAGGATCCATTCCAGGGTACCAATTTGCATTTAGAGCTATTGCTTTTTTTTTTCTATTTGTTTTGAAATTACCGTCATAGGAGGTTGCGAAGATAGAGGTACCCTTCACCCTGTTTTCCTCAGTGGTTACATTTTTCTTAGTTATAATACAGTATCAAACCAGGAATCAGACACTGGGCAGTGAGGGTGTATAGTTACCTGTCATCTCGAGTGTAGCTTTGTGTAAATCACCACTACAGTCTAGACACAGCTGTCCCTTCACCATCAGGATCTCCCTCCAACTATCAGAGCCACGCCTGCGCGTCCTGCTGCCGTCCCTCATCCCTGCAACCACTGGTCTGTTTGTCATCTCTCTAATTTTGTCATTTCAAGAATGTTGTATAAATGGGGTCATATAGCATGTAACCATTTGGGATTGGCTTTTCTCAGCATATACTCTGGAGATTCATCCAGGATGTTGCGTGTGTCCACAGTTCGTCCCTTTTGGTGGTTGCCTGGTGTTCCATGGTATGCTCATTGTTCCAATTAAGGACATCTGGGTGGTTTCCAGTTTTCGACTATCCCAAATAAAGCTGCTATGAACATTCATTACAGGTTTTTGTGTAAAAGTTGGTTTCTTTCTCTGAGAGAAATGTCCAGTAATACAATCACTAGGCTATGTGGTCATTGCATGTTTCGTTTTTAAAAAGTGACCAACTTCCAGAGTGGCTGCACCGTTTTATTTACATCCCCACAAGCAACGTTTGTGAGTGATCCAGTTCCTCCAAATCCTCGCCCGTTTTTTATTTAAGCCATTCTGGTGGGTATGGCGTGACATCTCATTGTGGTTTTCATTTGCATAGACATAATGGCTCATGTATATCTTTCCATGTGCTTACTAATTGGATTAATTTTTTTACTGTTGAGTTTTAAGAGTTCCTAATATATATTCTGAATACTAGTCCTTTGTCAAGGTTTTGGTTTATGAATAGTTTGTTTTTTTATTCTCTAAACAGGATATTTTACACAGCAAAAATTTTTAATTTTGATGAAGTACAGTTTACAGAATTTTTTTTCTTTTATGGATTATGCTTTTGGTGACATGGCTAAGAATTCTTTACCTCCTGCTAGATCCCAAAGATTGTCTCCTGTGTATTTTTCCCCGAAACTTTATACGTTTGTTTTTACATTAAGCCTGTGATCCATTTTGAGTTAATTTTTGTATAAGGTATGACACTTAGGTCAAGGTTCTTTTTTTTAAATTTGCATTTCACTGTTCGCTAACAAGATTGAGCATCTTTTTACCTGTTGATGGGCAATTCCTGTTTTCTCTTCTGGGAAATGCCTGTTACGTCTTTTGCCCTTTTTCCATTCAGTTTGTTTTTTTTCTTATTTATTCATAAGAGTTCTTTATATGTCCTGGATTCTAATCATTTGTAGGATAAATGTGTTGGGAAAAGTTCTCTGTTTGCTATAGTTTATCATTCTACTCATTGTGTCTTTTGATAAATAGCCATTTTTAATTTTTCCGCTGTCAGACTTATCAAATATTTTATTTGTGTGTGTGTGTCTTAAATCCTTCTCTATCCTATGGTCATAAAAATATTTTTCTGCATTATCTATCTACACGCATGCACATACACTTAAATGTCTAACCCACCAGAAATTGATATGTGTGTCCACTATTCGATTTCCTTTATTTTTCCCCAACTGGATAACCAAGTGTTAAAGCTCCACATACTGAGTAGCACATCTTTCTCCTCTCTGCAATGCCGTCTCTCGTAGATCAGATGTAGACACGTGTACTGGCTTGGTATCCTGCAACATTACTATTTAAAAAAAATTATTTCCTCCCCTTTTTTTTTTTTTTAATCCTTACCTGAGGATTTTTTTCCTTTTCTTTTTAGAGAGTGGGAGGGAGAGGGGGGGAGAGAGGAGAGAAAGAGAAATATCCATGTGAAAGAGACACATCAATTGGTTGCCTCCCGCAAGTGCTCGACTGGAGCCAGGGATTGAGCCTACAACCGAGGTACATGCCTGTGCCCTTGGCCAGAATCGAACCTGGGACCCTTCAGTCCATGAGCTGACACTAATCACTGAGCCAAGCCAGCTAGGGCTAAAAATTATTTCTAATACTCTTATGGTGGCATCTTTAGGGTTTTCTATATATGGTATCATGTCATCTGCAAATAGTGACAGTTTTACTTCTTCCCATTTTGGATGCCTTTCATTTCTTTTTCTTGCCTAATTGCTCTGGCTAGTACTTCCAGTACTATGTTGAATAACAGTGGTAAGGTGAGAGTGAGCATCTTTGGCTTCTCATCTTAGAAGAAAAGCTGTCAGTTTTCTACCATTGAGTATGATATTAGCTGAGGGTTTGTCAGAAGTGACCTTTATTATGTGAGATACTTTCCTTCTATATCCGTTTTATTGAGTGTTTTAATCGTTAGTGAATGTTGTATCTTGTCAAATACTTTTTCTACATCTATTAATATCATATGACTTTTATTTTGTAAATGTATTGTTTCACATTGATCAGTTTGCATGTGTTGAACCATCCTTCTGTCCCAGGAATGAACCCCACTTGATCATGATGTATATGATCCTTTTAATGTTTGTTGTATTTGATTTGCTAGGATTTTTGCATCTATGCTCATCAGAAATAGTGGCCTATAGTTTTCTTTTTTTGTGTTGTCCTTGCCTGGTCTTGGTATCAGGGTAATGTTGGCCTCATAAAATGAGTTAGAAAGTTTTCCCTCTTCAATTTTTTGGGAAGAATTTGAGGAGGATAGATATTAAATATTCTCTGAATGTTTGAGTAGTGGAGCCATCTGGTCCTGGGCTTTGTTTTTGGAGAAGATTTTTGATTACTGTTTCAATTTCATTACTAGTGACCCGGTGTATTTAGGTTTTCCAGTTCTTCATGATTCAGTCTAGGAAGGCTATGTATTTTAAAGAATTTGTCCATTTCTTCTAAGTTATCAAATTTGGTGGTGTATAACCTTTCATAGTATTCTTGTATAATGCTTTGTATTTCCTTTATGTTCATTGTAACTTCTCTTTCATTTTGGATTTTATTGAGTCTTTTTCTTTTTTCCTTAGTCTAGCCAGAAGTTTGTCAATTTTACTCTATTTCTTTTGGTTCTCTATTTCATTTATTTTCACTCTAATTTTTATTATTTCCTTCCTTCTACTGACTTTGGGCTTCATTTGTTTTTTCTAGTTCTTTAAGGTATAATATCAGACTATTTGAGATTTTTCCTGTTTCTTGAGGTAGACCTGTCATGCTGTAAATTTCCCTTTTATTTTTTTAGTCTTTACTGTTGAAAGTATTACAAATGTTCCCTTCCCCCCCATTAATCCCCTCCCCCCTGCACTCCTCCCCCCAGGCCTTCACCACACTACTGTGNGAGTAATTGACGTGATAACTTGTCTTTCTCTGACTGGCTTATTTCACTTAGCATAATACTCTCCAGGTCTCACCATGCTGTCTCATAGGATAAGGGATCCTTTTTTATAGCTGAATAGTATTCCATGGTATAAATGTCTGAGAAGATGCTTGATATATTTCAATCTTGAACTTGTAGAGACTTGTTTTTTGTCCTAATATGGGGACTATCTTTGAGACTGTCCCATGTTCACTTGACGAGAATGCGTCTTCTGCAGCTTTGAGGTGGAATGTTTCATAAATATCAGTTCATCTGATCTAGTGTGTCATTTAGAATCAGTTTCCTTGTTGATTTTTCGTTTGGAAGATCTATCCGGCAAAGTCAGTGGGACATTACAGTCCCCTACTATGACTGTATTTCTGTTGATCTCTCCTTTAAAGTCCTCCAGAAGTTGTTTTTCCAGCCTGTGTGAGCCTTTTATTCTGAGGTAGGTCTGTTGTAGATGGCATATATTTGGCTCATGTTTTCTTATCCATTTAGCTACCTTATGTNAAAGTTTTCCCTCTTCAATTTTTTGGGAAGAATTTGAGGAGGATAGATATTAAATATTCTCTGAATGTTTGAGTAGTGGAGCCATCTGGTCCTGGGCTTTGTTTTTGGAGAAGATTTTTGATTACTGTTTCAATTTCATTACTAGTGACCCGGTGTATTTAGGTTTTCCAGTTCTTCATGATTCAGTCTAGGAAGGCTATGTATTTTAAAGAATTTGTCCATTTCTTCTAAGTTATCAAATTTGGTGGTGTATAACCTTTCATAGTATTCTTGTATAATGCTTTGTATTTCCTTTATGTTCATTGTAACTTCTCTTTCATTTTGGATTTTATTGAGTCTTTTTCTTTTTTCCTTAGTCTAGCCAGAAGTTTGTCAATTTTACTCTATTTCTTTTGGTTCTCTATTTCATTTATTTTCACTCTAATTTTTATTATTTCCTTCCTTCTACTGACTTTGGGCTTCATTTGTTTTTTCTAGTTCTTTAAGGTATAATATCAGACTATTTGAGATTTTTCCTGTTTCTTGAGGTAGACCTGTCATGCTGTAAATTTCCCTTTTATTTTTTTAGTCTTTACTGTTGAAAGTATTACAAATGTTCCCTTCCCCCCCATTAATCCCCTCCCCCCTGCACTCCTCCCCCCAGGCCTTCACCACACTATTGTGNGTTTTTCCAGCCTGTGTGAGCCTTTTATTCTGAGGTAGGTCTGTTGTAGATGGCATATATTTGGCTCATGTTTTCTTATCCATTTAGCTACCTTATGTTTTGAATGGAGCATTTAATCCATTTACACTTAAGGTTATTATTGATAGGTACTTATCTATTGCCATTTTATTTCTTTATGCCTGTGTTTCTCTTTTTATTTCAACGATTTAAAAAAATATATCTTTATTGATTTCAGAGAGAGGAAGGGAGAGAGAGAGAAACATCAATGATGAGAGAGTCATTGATCGGCTGCCTCCTGCACCCCCCCACTGGGGATCGAGCCCGCAACCCGGGCATGTGCCCTGACGGGGAATCGAACACTGATTGCCTGGATCCCAGGTTGATGCTCAGCCACTGAGCCGGGCTGGTCGGGCTCAGCTTCTTTTTTGTTAATTTTTTTAATCCTCATCCAGATATTTTTTCCTTGTTTTTCAGACAGAGGTTGCGGGGGGAGATAGATATAGAAACACTGATGTGAGAGAAAGACGTCGATTGGCTGCCTCCCCCTTGCATGCTGCCTGGGGCCTGGGATCGAGCCTGCAGTTGAAGTACGTGCCCTTGGCCGGAATCGAACCTGGGACCCCTCAGTGTGAGGGCAGATGCTCTAACCACTGAGCCAGACTGGCTAGGGCTCTATTTCAGCTTCTCATTACACAGTCCCCTTAACATTCCCTGCAGTGCTGGCTTGGTGGTGATAACCTCCTTTAGCTTTTTTTTGTCTGGGAAGCCCTTTATTTCACCATCTATCTTGAATGACAGCCTTGCTGGATAGCGTAGTCTTGGTTTCAGATCCTTGCTTTGCATTACCCTGAATACTTCATGCCGTTCCCTTCTGGCCTATAGAGTTTCTGATAAGAAATCAGCTGACAGCCTTATGGGAGCTCCTTTGTAGGTAACAGACCACTTTTCTCTAGCTGCCTTTAAGATTCTCTCTTTGTCTTGAATTTTTGGCATTTTAATTATGTGTCTG